GCGGCGGCGGCGGCCGCGTGGACAGCAGGCAGGCTAGCCAGGTCCACAACTGGTTGTTGGCTGCGCGGGTGTTTGCGGCCCGTCTGGTCCACGACGGCCGGCGCGACGGACACGGGCGGCTGCGACATCAGGAAAAGCGCGTTCTGTGGTCGCTTGGAAGGGGGGGGGATTTGGAACGAGACCCCCCCCCCGTGGATGGAAGGGGGGGGTGTTCGACCCCCCCCTCCTTTTCTCCCCCTCTTCCCCTGCTTGTCCTATCTCCCTCTCCTCGGGCCGGCGCCTGCGTCGGCGGCGGCTGGCGGCGGCGGCGGCGGGGACGACGACTTCCTTTTCTGGGCCGGCGCGGGCGCCTGCGGCGGCGGGCGGCGGCGGCGGCGGGGAGCGTCGACGAGAACGACGGCGACGACGATGAGGACGACGACGACGCTCCGCCACCGTGCCTTGGTTTTGGGCTAGAGTCCTAATGGATGCCTCTTGGAGTTTCGTCGGAGGACTTTCGGAGGCCTCTGAAGGGCATTTGTGCAGCCTCCTGGGCGCCTCTTGGGCGTCTCTTGGGGCCTCCCTGAGGTGGTGGTGGTGGTGGTGATGGTGGTGGGCTGTGGTGGTTGGTGGTGGTGTGGTTGGTGGTGGTGTTTGTTGTGGTGGTTGTGGTGGCAGGTTGTGGTGGTGGCGGTGATGGTGGCGGTGGTGGTGGTGGTGCGGTGGTTTCTGGTGGTGGTGATGGTGAAACTTGTGGCGGTGGTGGGTTAAGATGGTGGTGGCGGTGGCGGTGGTAGTGTGGTGGTTTGTCGTGGTGATTATGTTGGTGGTGGTGGTGGGTTGTGGTGGTTGATGGTGGCGGTGGTGGTGGTTGTGGTGGTGGTGGTTTGTTGCGGTGGTGGTGGTTGTGGTGGTGGTTGGTGGTGGTGGTGGTTTGTGTTGGTGGCGGGTTGTGGTGGTGGCGGCGGCGGTGGTGGTTGTGGTGGTGGTGGTGGTGTGGTGGTTTGTTGTGGTGGTGGTTGTGGTGGTGGTGGGTGGTGGTGGTGGTTTAGTGTTGGTGGTGGTGGTTTGGTGGTGCTGTGGTGGTGGTTAGTGGTGGTTGTGGTGGTGGTTGGTTTTGGTGGTGGTGGCGGTTTGGTGGTGGTGTGGGGGTGGTTTGGGTGGTGGGTTGTGGTGGTGGCGGTGTTTTGTGGAGGTGGTGCTGGTGGTGGTAGTGGCGGTGGTGGTGGTGGTGTTTGTGTGGTGGTTTGTGGTGGTGGTGGTGGTTAGTTGTGCTGCTGGTAGTGGTGGTGGTTGTGGCGATGGTGGTGGCGGGGTGGTTGATTGTGGTGGTGGTGGTAGTGGTGGTGGGTTTTTGTGGTGGTGGTAGTGGTGAGTTGTGGTGGTGGTGGTTGTGGTGGTGGTGGATCTGGTGGTGGTGGTTGTGTTGTGGGTTTGTGGTGGTGGTGGGTTGAGGTGGTGGTGGTGGAAGTGGTGGTGGTGGTAGTGGTGGTAATCGTGGCTGCGTCCCCGCCGTCGGCGCTGTTGGCCGCCGCCAGCGCCTGCGCCGGCGCGGGGAGAGGGGTTGGACCCCCCCCTCCTTCCACCCTTTTGGGCTGCCTCTGGTCATCGTCGCTGCGTCCCCGCCGTCAGCGCTTCTGGCGGCCGCCAGCGCCGGCGCCGGCGCCGGCGCCGGGGGGGAGGGTTCGGGAGGGGGGGGGTTAAGGGGGAGGGGAGTCCCCCTTGGTTCTGATCGACGGCGCCGAGTGTTGGGAGAGGGGGGGGGCCTATCACCCGGTTCGAAACGCGCCACCGAATGTTCCCAAGGCATGCGCCCGTGAAACGCGCTCTCTCCGACATCAGCGAAGCGCAGCTTCTCGAGTAGAGCCCCTGAGAAGCCAAGTCGAGGCAGCGCTGTGCTCGGTCAGTCGCCTTGTCCGCCCCCCCTGTCTGGCGCCGCCCTATTGTTTCCGCCAAGAGCGTCTGGCGGTCTCCCTCCAGCCAGCGGCGGCAGCTTGGCCTCCGGCATCGCGGGGGGGGGGGGGGGGGGAAGTGGCGGCATTGCGGAAATCAGAGAATCTGCCGGCACCCCCGCCGTCCACGTTAAAAACCATGCACAGTGATCGCCGGGCGCCCGTGCATTCTCCAGATTTGGAGGCAAAGTGTGTGTTTGCATCATTGTTTGACAGGGATGGTGGCGGGGTGGAATCATGGATCTGGAGTGGCTGCTGGTCGGATGGGTGGTGTTTGCTAATAGGGAGTTGTGATAAACCCTTCCAGAAGAATGATAATAATAAGAAGACGAAGAAGAAGACAATTTGCTCAGCCACGTCCGCCAAGACGTCGGAAGTTTGGGTCTGTCTGGAGCATGGCCAAAGCTGGTCGACCACCGCTGTCGCGTTGGGCGTGGCTGCCGCTGCGATCTTGCGGTGCGCCAGCTCGCCAGAAGCCGCTGCAAGATGAGGCTTGCTAGCGAGGGTCGGTGGCGCGCAGGGAGCGGTGGGGCGAGGGAGGGGGGGCTCGTGCCACGTTGGCGTCCGCCCGGGAATCGGCGGTCTTCGACCCAGGAGTGCTACGTTGCATCATTTTGTTCGGGCCTCAGAGCCGAGCAACTACGCACCGTACCGCGTTAGAGCGGGGCCTGAAGGGAGTCCAGACACGGTACGGTGCATGGGCGTCGATGGGCGGGACTGCTGGAGAAAACGCGGTGCAGTACACAGCCGCGCGTGGGGCGATTAGAGTAGCATTGAGAGAAGTTCTAAGTCCGGCGCCTCGGCGCCACCGATTTTTCTTCTTCATCCAGAGGCGTCTGCGCTCTTGACGGCGTCTCGCGTGACGTTGTTCCAGGTTCGTCTGGCGGTCTTCAGTCTCACTTCGAGGAGCCAGTTGTGCGTCGGTCCGATTTGTGAGGGTGGAAGGGAATCATGGTCCGAGTCGATGGGGTCGGAGGATCGCGCCGCGGCGCCGATGCATCGCAAAGCGGCGCGATGTGGAGCCCGATGTTGTTCGCGCCGACGTTACCGATGCGTCGCCGACGTCGCCGATGCAGCGGGGATGCGGCGCGATCCTCCGACCCCACCTACTTGGACCTCGTCTGGGAGGCCTCTATATGTGCTCTTGTCCTCGAAGAAGAACAAACTGCATGAGCATAAATTTTCGGGGCGGCTCCGCGCGAAGCTTTTGGATCGGCGCTGGAGGCCCCCCCCTGGCTTGCTCCGCGCGCCAGGGAGGGGGACCAACCGCAGATTCAAGAAATCCGCACGGACAGTCGAAAGTTAATGTTTATGCCGTCTTTCCTTCATGTATATACATATATATATGTACACATGCATGTGAATCTACACATATATATATATATATATCTATATATATATATATATATATAATGTATGTTTGCCGGTCCTGCCATGTGTCTTCTGTAAGAAGCCCCTTGCCTTCTCAGCAGGCCTCCATCACCCTCCCCTGCTTGCGCGCCGCATGGGTAAGCTGGGGCTCGCCAGCGAGGATTGCTCGCAGCAGGTCGGCCGTTCGATTCCCAAGAGTCGAAGAAGCACAACCTCTGCATAAACATAAACTTTCGGCGTTCCGCGTGGATTTGTTTGGTCGGTGTTGCGTCTCACTGGTTGCGCCATCGGCGCTGCCCCTGGTGTGCTCTGCACGCTCGGGCTCCGCACGCTCGGGAGGGGACCCCTGCACCGATCCAAAAAATCCGCGCGTGCTTCCAAAGGTTCATATATCTGCCGTGGTTAATCGAAAGAGCGCGGCAGCGGCTGGATCGGACTGCGTGTGGACCCGCGGCCTGTTGGGAGCGGCTTTGTAAGGCCGCGCGGGTACGCGTGATTGCTGCCGTGCGACAGCGCAGTGAAGATGTCATGGCATCCTTCTGCCTCTCCCTCCCGCTGCGCTTGCACAGAGACTCCCGAGTTGCTCCTCAAATTCCTCGTCCCTCTTGCCCAATTCCTCCATTCGCATCCCTCGCCTCCTCCTCCTCATCCTCCTCCTCCTGATCACCACCATCATCATTATTATCGTCATCAGCATCATCAGCATCATCATCAGCATCATCATCAGCAGCATCATCATCACTATCATCATTATTACCATCATTCTTATCATCCTCAGCATCATCAGCAGCAGCAGCATCATCATCATCATCATCAGACTGGTTCGCCGCCACCTCTTGATCCTAGTTTCACATTTCCCTCCTCACCACCGCCGTTGCCGCGCCATTCGACGCCGTCGTCGCCGCGGGTGCCGCAGTCGCCGCTCGCCGCCGCCGTCGCCGTTCGTTCGAACTGGCAGGGAATTCTCACGCTCTCGGAGGATGTGAGCGATCGTCGCATGGAAGAGCCCCGCGCATTTGCTTTCCATGTCTGCTGGAATGGAGCTAAGCGTCAGAGAATATCCCCTTCCTTCCCTCCCTCTTTTCCAGCCGTTTCTAAAGAACGAAGCTTGTTTTCCCTTCCTTTCCCCCATCCTTCCTTTCCACAGAGTTTTCCGTGCGGAAGGGTCGAGCAGGCCTGGGCCGGGACTCGGTTTGGATGGTTCCTTTCCCCTTTCACGACTGACACAGTTCAATATGTGCGTGGTGTGTCGCCCAAGCGGCGGATCGGTGGTCAGACGCGTCCTAAGCAAGGAGCTCCTTGCCCAGCCCCTCCTATGGCCCGTGATAGCGTCTGGCTTTTCTATCACTTTTTGCCGCTAGGCCACAAGCTTGGGCGGTGGAGCAAAGTTGAGGAGTGTGCAGGCAGCGGAGGCGGGTTTTTCAAAGCTCTGTCGAGATGTTTTTCGTTATATATATATATATATATATATATTGTTTCCCCTCCTCTGCCCCCTCGTCCCCACGCTCCATTCCCAAGCTAGCATCACTCATCTTCGCCTCCTCCGCCGTGCTAAACACGCTGTGCTCCTTTTCCTCCCCCTTATACTCCTAGTCGTTGTCCTCATCTTTGTCTTGCTTCTGATGGCGCTCTTGCCCAGGCGCTCCGATCACCCGAGACCGTCCAGCCTGACTCCCGTCTTACAGTGCGCGCAGGGCCATGATGCCGAGCTCATCTTGGTTTCAGGTCGACTCTCCCTTGGAGGTGGGACACGGTGAGACATGGGCGCCAGCGCTCAACATTGTTCGGACTTGTGTTACCGTCTCCATGTGTATCATAGCAACGTGCTGGTGGGCAGTCAAGTCGAACATCCTGGCATCAGCGAGTACATATGCGAAGACAATGCGTGACCTTGCATCACCGTCTGACCTTCTGACTCCGTTGGATAAGCGAGCTCAACGAGATTTGGATGAAGTGCGTGCGGCCCGCTTTCATACCTTTGTGCACGTGATGCTCCCTCCGCTGGTAGCTGTTAACCTATGTTATCTGGTCGTCCACATAACCACAAGGAGACCCAGCTACGAATGTATGGGTAAGTTATGGTCATTCCCGCTTCGGGAGTTCCTTGCGCGCTATTCGCACTTCTCGCCGGTGGTCATTGCGGGGGTGTACAAAGCGTGCATGTTCGTTTTTGTAGTTCAGATGTTGATGGTGGAGGGCCCCAGCGGCATCCCAGGGCGAGTCATGGCCGGAATATGTTTGCTGGATTGCAGTGTATCTTTGAAGAATAACATGCTTTTCAGTGCAATACATTGTTTCGTGACCTGGAACCGCCAAGCGCACAATGGAGCATCCACCGTAGAGAGTCTCGAGCATGTGATGCAAGAGATCCACACTTGCGTCGCCATTTGCTCAATACTGATGATTGTAGAGGCTGGTGACCGGGGCCGGATCAAAGCTTCGCTGCTGTCCAGACAGTCGGACAGATCACAACAGGGAGTGCGAAGGTTGCTTTCTGCGTTCTGCGATGCCCAAGTGCACATCGGTCCAGAGCTGCAGATCATCACCAATTCCCGCCCGCTGGTGCACTTCCTGGGCTGCGGGGCAGGGGGCGTGGACACGCAGGACGTCTTTCGAGGCGACTGCTTCCTCCGACACGTGATGGAGTCCGACCAGCAGCGCTTCCAGGAATTCCTCGCGGCGACGTCGGCTCTCCAGTCAGAGGGCGGCGATGCGAGCGCACGCGCCGAAGGGGCTCCCGCCTCCATCCAGGTGTCGCTGCGGAACCGCGGTGGCGGCCACGTCCCCGTAGAGCTGTTCGTGGTCTCGCTCCCAGACGTCGACGACACGCTGGGGTTCCTGATGGGCATCCGGGAGACTGGGGCGCTCCCGTGGGAGGCGCGCGTGGACGCGCCGGGGGCCGTGGCGCTGCCGCCGCACGCGGGGGCGGCTGTCCCTGCGGAGGCTGCCGGCTCGCCGCCCTCGGGAGTCGCGCCCGAGGTCCACGCGCCCAGCGGCCTGGCGACGGCAACTGCACGCCGACACCGATCTTTCGGATCAGCATGGGTACGGAAGGAATTGGTACCAAGACCGACAGCATGTCTTGTTCATGTTGACTAGGACCCGCCGCAGACGTTATCCATTTGAGGCAGAAGCCCTCTGCCCAACAACGGCCGTTGTCGGTTTTGGGCAGCATATGTTGTTGAGCATCGTACCAATTTCTTCCGTATCCACTCTGGGCGTCCAAAATCTTGGGCAGGCCCATCTTGGACCCAAGATCGGGGCATAGGCCGATTTGGCTGGCCAGGAGGGCATATACACCGATCCGATCCTGTCTGTGGCTCAGGACTGGCCTGAGTAGAAGCGGTGTCGGTGCATAGCTGCCGCCGTCCTGGGCACCGAGGTCGCTGCTCACGCCAAGCTGGGGCGGGTCGCGGGTGCACGCACGTCGTCGCGCAAGCTCTGTTCCTCGTCCTCCTCGGGCTCGTCCGCGTCCCGGTCATCGTGCTCTTCCGGGCGCCGCGCCGCGTCAGCCGCTGGGGTCAACAGCGTGTCATTGCGGCTTGACTCCGCGAGCGCGGGGATGCGCGTCCGCGACATCTCGGAGAACAACAAGCGGCATGAGCATAAACTCTCGGATGCCCGCGCGGGTTTCTTTGCCGAGGCGAACCCCCCTCTTCCCCGGCGCGGGGTTGTCCAGCGCTGATCCGAGAAATCCACACGGCCTCCCGAAAGTTTATGTGTATGCAGTTTTTGGTTCTTCTGACATTTGCTTCCACCTCGGCACGGGTCCCCATGGGCCCACCCTGCGAGAGTGGGTGTCCCCAGAGCAGTTCCTGGACATGGAGGGGCGTTGCCAGAGCGTGATACACGCAAGGGAGTATTGCTGTGAGGTGGAGGAGGCGGATTGTAATATCGGCTCGCTGATGCTCAGCTGCAACGGGGATGCGTTTCTGTCGGCTGCGACCGCGGTCCTGACAGCGGCCAGTCATGAGGACGACGACCTTGATGTGCTGATCAGGATGCAGGGGCTGTCGAAGCTGTGGGCGCCCTGGGCAGGCTACGTTCACGGCGCTCGCAAGAGCACGCAGCTTGCGGTGTCCGGCCGGCTGCAGCCGATAGACGAGATGTCGCCAGATGAACTAAACCAGAGGACAGATGCTTTTCATGGCGCAGCTGGCCAGGCGACCAGCGGAAGACCCAGTGCGGCGTTCGGTGCTTGAGCCAGGGACCATACAGCTGCGCTGGCCGACTGGTCCGAGGATTGCCCTCCATCTCCTCAAAGATGCGGCTGTGTATCGTTGGCCCCTTGGACGACGGTGGAGCGGCCGTTCAAAGCGATTTGGCCTTGCAGCGTTTGTAACTGCGCTTGTTCCAGGCCCGCAGTTGAGTGCTTGCAGTCAGCTCTCATAGCGTTACTCATCCACAAATACGTAACACGTGGGAGGAACTTACATGCCGATGTCCATTTGGTTTTGCATGTTTCACATGCAGTTCGGTTGCGATGTCCATTTCGACGTACATGCTAAGTTCATGGCGATTGCATGTTCTGCATGCCGGATTACGTTTCGGCATGCATTTCGATGTGCATGTTGATTGCATGTGGATGCGTGTGTGTGTGTGTGTGTGTGTGTGTGTGTTTGTGTGTGCGTGTTCGATGTGCATGTCGATGTGCACCTGACTTGCAGGTCGATGCGTATTTCGACGTGATCATCGATGTTCATATCAATCTACAGTTCTATGCGCACATCGATGTGCATGCTTTCATGCGTTCCAATTTGGAGTTCGATCGTCATGCCGATCGCATGCGTGTGTGTGCAATTCGATTGGCGTTTCGATGTGCATGTCGAGCTGCAGTTAGATTTGCATATCGAACTGCATGTCGATTTGCATGTCGATTAGAAGTGTAGATCTGCATCCAGATTCACATGTCTAATATTATGCCGATTGCAGGTTCGTACATATGCGTATACGGGAGATCCCTGGCCCGTGGCCTCAGGCTGGGACCCCCCTTGTATGTGCGTTGCGGCCCCCTTCCCAGGAGCCTCCTCTGGCGGATCCGGAGGGCCTCAGACAGCTCGAGAAGCTCCAAGAGCGCCAAGGATGGCTGGCAGACTGCCTCAGAGGCCCCCAAGACGCCGCGAGAGGGCCCCAAGAGCGCCCCAAGAAGCCCCAAGATGGCCCCAAGACGGGCCATCCGGGACCACGCACTTATCGAGCAGCACGGGCACGGAGCAGTCCCGGGGGGCCTCTCACAACGGACCAGCCCCGGGGGCGTCTCACAACGGACCAGAGGCATCCGCCGAGCCGATCTCATGGGCCAGGCAGACGTTCTCGCTCACAAGCATGGAGCAGTTTCGGGTGGGCGGCAGCTCTCTCAACCTGGGCCTTGCCATGAGGATGAACTCGAGTTTGAGAATGAGGATTAGGGGCTCCGCTCCGTGGAGATCCAGGACTGCGATTCGTGGCCAGTCGAGCTGTCCACGTGGGAGGCGCTCCTCCCAGATCACAGGCGCTTCGATCCCCTGACCGTGTAGGAGGAACGCCCGGGTTGCATGAAATTTGTTGTTATGTCCATTTCTTCGGCCGAGACGGGACGGACGACATTGGTTGTTGCCACTCGTTCGAGGGGAAGAGTTGGGAGGAAACGGCAGAGAGGATGGGAGAGGAGCGGAGGGAGAGGTGAACCGATTGTAGGAGGCGAGGGAGGAGACAGCCGAGCTCTTGTCGGCTACTCGGCCCTGTACAGGGCACGGGCTGATCAGCTGGGCTCATGTAGCAATGCTCTTTTTGTGTTGCGCGTGCAACCCGTGATATTGATATATTTGGTGCAATCGATGTTCTGCAATCTATGTCGTGCAATCTACATTGTGCGACCACCCTCGGTTGCGGGATGGTTTGGAGGCGCCGTTGTCGCCCACAGCAGCGGGGTGGTAGTGGCCGCGGCGGCGGCATTGGCCAGTAAATCCACGCAGGTTGTTTGCCAAGGCGAGACGGGTATAGGTATGGATGGTTCCTTCAGCACAGCCGCCACGTGGCAGCGTGGAGGGGCAGAGCAGATACAAATCTACACTATGCGTCGCGTGTCAACGCGAAGCGGTTGAGAACATATGATTCGATGTTGTTCGTCTCGTGGGAATGCAGGGGGGGAGACAAAGTACGAGTCCACTTTGCTCGCCACGTGTCAGCGCAGGAAAGGGCTGAAAAAGATACAATTCTACGCTATTCGTCGCGTGACATCGCAGAAAGGGCGAAAACACATATTCCAGTTTAGTCGCCACATGGCAGCGTAGAGGGCCGACACAACTACACATATACGCTACACGGCGCGTTGGAACGCAAAGGGCCTGATATTATACGAGTCGATTTCCTTCATCGCGTGGTAGTGCAGAGAAGGACGGACAAAGTCCGATTCGACTTTGTCTGCATAGATCTGGGGCCGGCGCTCTCTAAGAGACAGGCTTCTTCTGAGAAGCCTTCCCCCCTCGCCCTGCCCCCCCCTCGTGCGCCCCGCCAGCCCCCAGGCCTCTTTCCCAGACCTGCTACGTGTTTTGTCAGCCGTGGCGCTCCTCTCTCGTTTTGGCGCCCTCGTCACGTGGCAACGCATCGGGGCGAACAATGAGCATCCCACTCCAGTCGCCAGACGGCAGCGTAGAGTGGCGAAACGGACATGCATATCATATTCGCTACACGTCACGTGACAATGCAAAGGGACTTGAACATGGTTAGTATATTCCTGTGTGCTTCGTGGCAATGCAGGGGGACGGAAAACTGCGATTCCAGTCTGGCACGGCGCAAGAAGTGGGGGGGGGCATCCAAGTACAATTTCAATTCATGTTGCACGTAGCAACCCAGGAGGGCGAAATTGCATGCTCCCGTTTTCTCATCGCGTGGCAACGCAAAGCCGTTGATAGCATACTCGTATATTATATTCGTCACGTAGCAACACAGGAGGACAGGACAATAACGATTACACTTTGCTTGCCACGTGTCAGTCCAGGAGGGCCGAAGCAAATGCACATCTGTTCGATCCGTCACATGGCAACGCAGAGGGAGGGGGAGCGGAAAGCATGCTATTGGAGTTCAGGGCGGACAGGTGAGCGATTCCTCTCTGATCACCGCGTGGGAATGAAGAGGGGCGTAACACATACATGTCCGTTTTGTTCGTCACGTGACAACGATTCAACTCTAATTCGTCACGCGGCAATGTGGAACAATTGCGCTTCCACTCTGTTCGCCACGTGGCAATGCAGAGGGGCGAAACGATCCTATGATCTCTGCCGTGCGGCAGCGCAGGGGGGGCGGATAATCGTAGTATTCTAGACCTGCTCGGCGAGTGGCAGCGCAGGGGGGGCGACCACTGTCCTCGTCAGGTGGCGCACCACAGGGGGGGCAATCCAGGAGAGGCGAACCCAATCCAGGAGGAGGAGGAGGAGGAGGAGGAGGAGGAGGAGGAGGGAGGGAGGAGGAGGAGGAAGGGACATTGAGCGTTGTTGTATTCGGCATTTCCACATGGCGGCGCAGGCGTCGCAGCATGACGACTTGGGCCAGCGTCTGTGGGCATGCTCAGCGAGACGGAGTGCCTCCGCCCAGCGCTGGCCGTCCTGAGTCTAGGGTTTCGGGCTGAGAGCCGGCGTCGACCAGCACATTTTGGTGCACGTCTCACACGGATCGGAACGTCGGAGGTTGGAAAAGGTGTTTTGGCCCTAGGATATTATATTACTCAAAACTGGCCGAGTGAATGTTATAACCTCCGAGTAGATTATCATGACCCTTGAACTGGAATTATTTGAAATCGCCGGTGAGGACGACGACGACGACAACGACGACAACGACGACGACGACGACGACGACGACGACGACGACGACGACGACGACGGCGGCGGCGGCGGCGGCGGCGGCGGCGGCGACGGCGGCAACGGCGGCGGCGCGGAGCCCGAGGCCGCGGGCCAGCCCGAGCCCGCCGCGGGCGCCTCGGGCGCGGGGCACGGCGCGGAGGAGCAGGGGCGCCAGGAGGCCGCAGAGACGGAGGAGCTGCATCGGGTAAAGCCGGGGCCCTGGGCAAAGGGGAAGCAGGAGGAGGAGGAGGAGGTGAAGGAGGAGGAGGAGGAGGTGGAGCAGGAGCAAGAGGAGGAGGAGGAGGCGGAGGAGGAGGAGGAGGAGGAGGAAGAGAAGAAGAAAGAAGTTCGGCCTCTCCGCGTTGGCTGCCGCCGAGAAGGGCGGCCATGCCCCAACTAGCGCGCAGTGCGCCAAGGGCGAGGACCCAAATATATGCCAGAATCGCTGAATCAAGTCTGCCGTAGTTGGTGTTTTTTTCGGTTGACGGCAGTTCCGGTCAGTGCGCGTGCTGCGCGTGGGTTCGGAGGTCGGGCTTGAAACCTCAGAAGAGGAAGCGATTCGGATCACCGTGCACCGCATTAGGGTCGGGCATTTTCGGATAGCTTGTTGCTCCGCCAGTTCTGGCCCACCACGCTTCCGAGCGACACTCTATCCACTTGGCGATCCCGACGCTGTCTACTTTTCGTGCTTCGAGGAAGAGAAACGACATAAGCATACATTTTCTGAGTTCCGCGCGGATCTCTGGGACGGCGTTGGGTGCCCCCTGGCGGCGCCTCCAGCGCCGCCCGTGGAGAGCTCCGCGTGGCAGGAAAGGGAGCCCAGCGCAGATCTGAGAAATTTGCGCGGACCTCCGAAAGTTGATGTTTATGTCGTCTGTCGTTCCTCTAGTGCTGCGCTTGAAGTGGCTTGGTTGCAAAGGTCGAGCTCGGAACCTCAAAAGAGGAAGCGATTTTGTTCACCGTGCACCGCGTCAGATTACGTCACGGCCAGCGGATTGGATCGTCGGCGGTTCCGTCGTTGCGCGGGTCGGAGGGCATGGAGGCATGGAGACCCGTGGTTTCTAGAAGTATATTTGTTGCAATTGAAAGGTCCCCCAAGCCGAACGGCAGCGCACCAATTGATGAGATTACTGCGGATATTGCGCACCTGGGGGCGATAATCAATGGATGGTTGCACCGATTTGTACATTGCATCGGTAGGCGGGGCCTTGCCTCACCACGGTTGACAATCGTCTTGCGGCGTGCGTGGTTGATGAGTGGATTTCGTCTCGAATATGCGATGAAACAAAAATGGAGGAGAGGTCTCATGTCAGACATGCAAAACAGCAAGACACCCATGGATGCAACAAAGAGACGGGCATTGCACTACCAAACGCGAACGGCCTGGTTTTATTGGGGTATGCGCGAGATCGAGCCTCGAGGGGGCGCAGCAAGATGGCCACAGCTGCACACTCGGCAGCACCCAGAGGGGTGGCAAGGACCCACGTGGGTCTGCGAAATCCGCGCTCCCTGGACCTTCTGGGGCGCAGCAAAGCGGCAACAGGTGCACGGCACCCCAGGCAGGGCGAGGCCCCATGTGGGTCTGCCGGAGATCGCATTCCTGTTGGCACCCGAGGGGCGAGCCAAAGGGGTACAGTTGCACGTGCGACAGCTTTCAGGGAGGCGAGACAAGAGGGCAAGCGAAAGAGAAGAGATGAGCGATGAGGGAAGCAGTAACGGCCACGATGGAAGAGGGACAGCGAGGAGGGCAGGAGGCGGGACGGGGAGAGAGGTGAGGACCAGCAGTTCTGTATCGAAAGCGGCAACACAACACAGGAGGGTAAATACAAAGTATGGTGCAACAACTGTGAATTATCGTGACAGCACGGAGTAGTGTGCATATTTCGCGAGGGCGTGTGTTTACAGCCATTCTCGAGAGCAGCCAAAATGAGCCTCGAACGATTTGCATGAGAATTGAACAGTTTGATGCTCTTATTGTGCATTGAAACCGCCCAAGGCATTTTTTCATAAATTCTAATCTTACGTCTTGTGAATCAGCAGCGGGGACCTGGAAACTAGAAAAAGCGAAACCCGGAAATTATGCACAAATCGTTCCCTCACAATCATGTGGAAGCTATTGTAAAACGAATCGGGGCAAGCTGGACCCGGTCAGGAAACGCCCCCCTGGTAACTATAAAAAGCGGTTTGGTGAACATTGGGCACAATACGCGAGTGCCGATGAGAATGAATATGGGGCGGCGCAGCGGGCATCAGCAGCAGCTGGAAGTGACAGCAGGCAGTAGCAGCAGGCAGTATCAGCACCAGGCAGCACAGGAGGAAGTTGGCGGCTGCAGCGAGCAGGAGGTGCAAAAGTTAAAGAAGCCGTTTGGAGATAATTTCGAGCTCTTATCGTGCGTTGCTTATCAGTCGTTGTCCGACCCACCAGGGTGGGGGGTTGGAAACGTGTTGAAAACGTATTGGAAATGGTCTCAAACAGGCAATTTCGACCCTTGGCCCAGGGGAGGCGGAAACATTGAGAATGTCACCGCCGCCGCTGAGGCCGCCGTTGCGAAACCGACGCCGCCATTATGACACTGACGATGTCTCTGGCTCAGACGCGCACTCCGGGGGGTCGGACAGCGACTGACAAGCAACGCACGATAAGAGTTCGACATTCTCTCCAAAAAGGCTTCTCTGGTGCACCTGCTGCCCGCTGCAGCCGCCAATTCCCTGCTTGATCGTGCCTGCCGTTCCCTGCTGCGCGCTGCTACTTGCGGCTCGTTGCTGCTGCTGCTGCTTGCAGGTGCCTCATTACCGTTCGGTGATTGCCAATGCACGCCCAGACAAAACAATACCGGATACAGAAAGCCACGTTGCAAGGCAGACTTGGAACCGGTGAAACAACGAAGTTGGAAAGTAACAGAAGCGCTCCCGCGGATTAGCGTCGAAAGCAATTTTTGAAGAACGCATCGCCACGGAGACTTGGGAACGACTGCAAAGCGGTAGTTGAAAGGTCTAAAGAAACGCTCTTGGCGTTTCCCAGGCACACGAGGTTGATGCTGGAGCAAACGATACCCCAAACAAGCGCTGAAGACGGCAGATTGTCTTCTGGAGGGCCAATCATATTATCGAGTGCCTGGCGTCATGGCCACATTCCTTGCCAAGGCGACTAATCAAATCCCTGCAGGCTTCGGGATAATTGCGAGCGGAGCTAAAGCGTGCATTATATTTCTTGGATCAAGTCACCTGGTTCTCATGCAACGTCATACCACGATGTGTATTCCACCAGGCAGAGGTCGCATTCAGACGCTCGTCTTCAAACAATCAGCATTTGTGTAGTAATGCGTCATGGGTTGGCGGCACGACTCTTCTTAATCATATCGAATGTTGCATATTCGTACGGTCTGCACGCTCGGCCCTTCTTGTCTGAACGTCGATTGGAGTACGTTGGACCAGTGTTCAGGCATGCAGCAGGAATGCTAGACAGGCTGATGGTATTCAATATTTTAGCAGGGCTCGGCAAGTATCACAATGCATCCGTGCATTTAGTTCATTTTGGGAAGGGGCCACAGACCTACCTAGATCGCATGCACAGCCCTACAATCAATAACAGTTGGGAGCATTACCTGGAAAGTTTACCGTTTGACTCAACCGTTTGACGGTGTCATATCGAAAAAGCCAGACTGCGTAACGTTCGGTGATCCAAGCACAGACTTTTTTCACCTATTTGATGGAGGGGTTATTTGTGTCAAGCTTACTATGCCATTTTATGAGGAGGTCCGGCAAATGGTGCAGTTGTGGGAAGTGAGTGCCCATTTGAAGCCGTCGCACGCTGTCCTATCCGTTGCCGATAGGGTCGAGCAGTTGTATGACCTCAAGAGTGCTGGGACAATCCACATCAGGCGGTGCGATGTTCTTGCCCAGAACACGCAGTGCACCGACCCAGCGGCAGTCGCAAAAGAGGTGGATGCTCTGAAAGACTTCACTTCCTGGGTGGTGTTCTGGTACGCAGAAGCCGGGTACAAGGATCGGCTGCGGAAAGTGTTGGCGAAGCCTGGGCGCAGAGTCTTGTTTGAGGACGAGATGCCACTCAATCCGTTCATGGACGGTGACAACTACTTCCAGTTCATGGTCTCGCAGGAGCTCTCCCGACGGGCGAAGGTTACCGTGGACACCCGTAGGTGTGTGTGCGTACGCAGGGATCGTGAAGCGCTCAGTGCGTCGGCTCGCAGATGGCGGCGCAGCGGCCCTGGACGAACATCTCTCTGCCACGTGCAGCAAATCCACATCCGCTCGCTGAGTGCGGTGGCTCTGTTCCTTCTTTCCTTTCCGAAACATTTGCGCTGCGCAACCGAAACGGAACAGATGTGTAATGCATATTTTCGTGGTCTGGGGTTCAGGGGGGGCAAGCGTCGTATAGAAGGCTCGATGGGAAGCAATGTGATTTCAGTCGCGGCAAATTCCGTGTATTTATATATATACACAAACATAGACGTAATCAGCGAGTAGCGTTCTGTGAAGCCATCCATGTCCCGCCTTGCCATCCCGTCTGCCGCTGTCGCTTCGCCAGTTGAGAGGAGCCCCCAAACGGGGCCCCAGAAGGCAACAAGGAACCCGAAAATGACTCCGAGAGGGCCCCTGGAGCGCCCCGAGGCAGGACAAGCCAGCGATCTCTAGCGCCCTCCTCAGGGAAAGGCGCCTTTCCTCCCCGCGTCGGCCCAGTCTGACACGCCAGCGAACTGAGGAGCAGTGCCTTGTCTGCCAGGGCCGCCTACTACCCGATTCGATTCGCCGGCTGCGACCACGTTTCCGATTTGATTCGATTCGGGCCGATTCGCCAGCATTGGCTAGTGACAGACAGAGCCATGCACGGCGATCCGATCTCGATCCGATTTGGAACGCTTCTCTGGCGTTCCGATCCGTTTGCCATCGATCCAGCTCCCCAGACATAGAATATGCGGTCCCCGGAATTCCAGACCCGTTCTTCAGGGTCGTTTTATCATCCTGGGTTATTTTTGGAGTTCCCATGGGCCCGGCGAGGGCATTCGGAGGCCGATAACGGCCAAACATGTTCCGTCGCGTTGCTTCACGGCTCAGTTTTGGGATTCGGTTATGTTCAGTCAGGCTTGCTTGCGGCCCCAGCTCATCCCCCCAGCCAGATGAGGGGCACCGTTAGGGGGCATTGGCTCAGGGTGAGGCATCGACCCCGAGTCGCCCATTGTTCGCCAGTAGGGGCCCGATAGCCCACCCCGCCCAGGATCGCGCGGTTCCGTTATCGGAGGGCGTATTATCGGCGTCCCCCCAACATACGTATATTATGTGTTCGTCGCCCCCCCAGGGGCGACGCGCGCACTGAGAAGTCTTATAGTATATGCGTCGTGGCGGGCGCTTTCTGGCCACACCGCTCGAGAAACGATATACTACAATATGGGTATACTATATGTTCGGGTCAGACGCGAGCCTCCAAGGCGGACATATAGTATCAGTATGTCTCTGTGCGTCCCACATTACCGATCAATCGGCGATGTATCGTCGATGCTGGCCCGACGTTTCCCCCCCCCCCCCCCCCGGAGCAGGTTCCCCACCAACGTTCCCCCCCACCCAGAGGAGCGCAGCGCAGCGCTGGTGCGGCCATGCGGCGCCGCCTCCGCCAGCCGCAGCGCCCTCGCACCACCCATGGAGGCGAGGGGGGGCGCGAGGACCTCCCCCAAGACCTCCTCGCCCTGGCCCCCTGGCTCGGCGCCCCCTCGGGCCACTGGCTAAGCCAAAGCCATGGGCCTTGGCCAAGCCAATCTCTTATCCTGCCGGCCCGGCTCGGTACCCCATCCTACCAGCGTGTAGCCGCCTAGCCAGCTAAAGCGACTAATTATCTGACGCCCCCCCACCGCCAAGGTAGGGGATCTCCCAAGTTACCCGAAGGATTGATTGTTTTCAGCCTGGGCGCTTTTGCCCAATGCCCAGATGTGGATGCACTTTCTGGGAAGTTGAATTGAGCATCGGCGCTGGTATATCCGCGGTCGAAAACCAGCCTAATCCAGCATAGTCCGGCTGAGTCTGGCTCATTCTTGTTGATTTGTATTAAATCCCGTGTAAGTTGGTTTTATCCTCGGCCTAATCCGCCCCAGTCCAGCTTCATGGCCCCTGAACATGGCTCAATCATCCTTATCTTGCGAAGAGCTCTCAGGAGTTGCTTCCTAACCAGACCGCCAACGCATTGAGAAACTGACTGCGGGGGTCTCTCCTCTTTTTTGGCCTCTGGTCCTCTGGTGGCCCTCGCCGGGCCCAGGGACCGCCAACAAGAAAGACTCCGTATGAAAAGCCAGCCCTGGGGAAAGGGTCGTGACTTCCTGGGGCCCCGTAGAGAAGAACTCACGACGTCGGACGTTTCGGTATCTCGGGGTCCCAGAGGGGCTCGTTGTCGGGCCCCAAGGGAGCACCAGGGACAGATCCCGGGATGATCGGGGGGAAGTGGTCGGGAGATGTGGCGAGGACGAGGGTGCGGAGGTTGTCGGGAGGTGGGGCGAGGACGAAGGTGGAGGGGCGCCGTGGCGGAGGCGCCTGGCGCGGGAGCAGCGGGGCGTAGGAGCGGCGTAGTGGCGACAGGAGACGCAGAGGGGCGGGGGCCCGGACATCCCACGCTCTGATAAAGTCAAGGGGCCCAAGGACACACTAATAAATACATACAAATAAAAATATTCCCCATATTTTCCCGTATTTTCTGGGTTTCTGTCTTCCCCCCACTTCCCATAGTTTCCCATATTTTCTGGGAAGTCGAAGATTAATTGTGTCTGTGTGTTTCTTTGCCTCCTGAATAAAGTCGAGGTGGTGGTCGTCCCTGAGAGCCAGGCGCTGCAACTGCTTGACAACATGCGATTTTGCCCTGTTTCGGTCTCCGAGGCCATCACAGGTCGATCTGGCTCGAAGAGCACTGCAGACCGATGGGTTCTGGGGTCCAGGGCTCTGGTCGCGATTTTTCTCGGTGTTGTAATTTGAGTGTGACGTGTGACGTCGGATCTTCACTTTCGGCCTCTGGGGGCCCTCGATGGGCACCGGGTGGCGTCCACAGACGACGCAAGATGAATGAGCCGGCCTCGTGGAAGGGGCGGGCATTCTGGGGACCCCGCATTGAAACAAGATCGAAGACATCGCGGATGCCTGGGGGGGCGCCAGGGCGGGGCTTCGACGGGGATGAATCGCGCCAGAGCGTCTGAGAGCGGTTTCAGAGCTTCTGGCGCGCTCTGAACCAGCCGCGGCTCCCTGCATATCCGCCAGAACCGCCAGATCTCTGAGGTCACCGATGTGGTACGGCCCAATCTTGTCCTGGTCCTGGCCTCGTCTTGGCGGATCGGGCGTTGCGTAACAGAGGGGGGGCGATAAATGAGGGGGTGAAGAAAGGTACACGTTTCGTGCACCTCAAGGGGCCCTCTAGGGCACTACAGGTGCACTTATTTTTGCCCCCCCCCCCCCCCCCCCATCCGACGCATCAGAACTTAGAACATGGGGAAAACGACGACTGGAGCCCCAGACCCCATCTTCACGCGCTATGTGTCGAACCAGATCGATCTATGAGAGTCCCAAGGCCCGAGACCGAACAACAACACCCGGCTCGAAAAATTTGAGGCGCCAGGATCTCAGGGTTCATCCGCCACCCCTTACGCCTCGTCTTGGCGGAGGCGATGCGCGGAGGCGCAGAGGGCGGGGCGAGAGCGGCAGGACGAGGACGAGGTGAGGGCCACGGCCGCCAGACGTTCGGCGTCCTGTCTGCTTCAGTGCGCGCCCCCGTGGAGGTCCCGACCTGTCCCCCAGTCGGGCCCCCAAGATCTGTGCCTCCTAGATCCTATAGATCCAGAGCCCCTGGTCATCAGGGCTGGGACCCGGTCAGGTGTAGCTACTGATTCGTGCTCCCGGTGCCTAAACTGGAGTTGCCCCGGGCCAGAGTTGTCCCGGATAATTATGGCGTCCAACCGTTTCCGAATCATCGGGGCGAGGGTGGTCAGGAATAATTATTGATTCGTGCGTCGGGGGCCCAAGCTGGAGTTACCCTGGACGAGAGTTGTCGCGGATAACTCGGGCGTCCAACAGATAGTGCCCGAGTAGGCGGAGTCGAAGGATCACGTCGCATCGCCGATACATCGGCGATGCGGCTCGATGTGGAGCCCGATTTCCTCCACATCGTCGTCGCTGATGCATCGCTGACGTCGCCGATGCATCGGCGATGCATGGGCGATGCAGCGCGATCGTCCGACCCCATCTACTCGGACCCCCCTTGGGTGGCCTTCATGAGATCCTGGTGTCTATGTCTCAATCCTCCCTTGGTTGGGTTCTCGTTTTGAATAGCGCAGTGTGGGCCCTCGTTTTGAATAGCGCAGTGTGGGTCCCACCTTCTTCCTCCTCCCTGCCTCCCCTTCATTCATCCCCTCCCCTCAGCCCCCTCTCTTTTTTGTCGTCCTCTCCCTCGTCGAGACCTCGCGGCTCCCTGCGGGGTTGCGAACCGCGTAATGGAGGCCATTTTCGTGGGCTCCTGGGAGGTCCAGCGGAGTGGAGGTCCACGCAGACCCAGCCGACGAGCTTTCGCGGCTCCCTGCGGGGTTGCGAACTCCGCAATTGTCGCCCATTTCGTGGGCTCCTGGAAGGTCCAGCGGAGTGGAGGTCCACGCAGATCTGCCGAGACCTCGCGGCTCCCTGCGGGGTTGCGAGCCGCGAAATTATCGCCAATTTCGGGGGCTCAGTTTCGGGGGCTCCTGGGAGGTCCAGCGGAGCGGAGGTCCACGTAGACCCAGCCTAGACCTTGTGGCTCCCTGCGGGGTTGCGAACCGCGCAATTGTCGCCTATTTCGTGGGTTACAGGGAGGTCGAGCGAAGTGGAGGTCCACGCGGACCCAGCCTAGATCTGGCGGCTCCCTTGGGGGGCTGCGAAGTGCGCGTCGTTCATCATGCTCGTTTGTATTGAGCGGTCCTTAGTATAGCTGCCCCGTCTTAGAGAAGGGGGGCTGGGCGTTTTCGCTTAATTTGGGGCCCCTCGACATTCGCAGACCGGTCCAGCTCGAAAGATTGCCCCGAAAGATGGGGTCCGTCATGTTTCATTGTGAGTCAACTTTTCCAAGACGTGGGATATCAGGGAATGTGCGGCCCGGGGAAGTCCCGACCTTTTCCCTCATTCGGGCGGTGCCAAGGGGGATCACCACTGAGAGGGCCACCACCCCCTCCTCGAGATCGGGGATCGGGGAGGAGGGAGGATCGAGGATCGGGGAGGAGAGAGGTCGTCCTCGGGCGTCTTTGGGAGTCCACGGTGGGAGGCCTGGGGCGTCCAGGGGGCTTCCGTTCCCTGGAGGATGTGGCAAATCCCATGGTCGTGCCCCCCCTTTGCGTTGCCTTGCCCAGGGCCTGCTCCTCGTCGGCCTTTTGGCGGCCCTCGGGGCCTCGCGAGGGCCCACCCCTGGGAGCCGAAGACTGCGAGAAGCTTCCGCCCGAAAGCTTCTGCAGGCGGTGGAGGTCTGGGCTCCAGCCAGGTGTCTTTCGGGCCAAAGATCAGGGCCTCAGGCGGCCGTTCGGGACGATCTGAGCGCCCCCACCCCAGGCCCTCGGTGAGGCGCTGGAGAGCACCCCCGAGGCTGGAGAGCCTCCTGGAGCAAGCGAAAACAATATACCATTCAAAGTACGAGCCTCGAAGGGCCAGCTCGTCGTTGGCCGCCGTCGAGATTCGAGGCCGAGGGCGAGGTCTCCTTCTCCTCTTCGCCCTCCTTCATCCTTCTCATCCTCCTCCCTACCTACCTCTTCGTCCTCTTCGTCGTCCTTCCTCCTCCCTCCTCCTCCTCCTTTCTCCTTCTCCTCCTCCTCTTCCTCTGCGCCCTCCGGATCTTTCATATTTGTCCTCTTCGTCCTCCTTTTTCCCTCTCCTCCTCCACCCTCGTCCTCCTCCTCTTCGACCTCCTTTCTCTTCATCTTCGTCCTCTTCGTCCTCCCTCCTCCTCATCCTTCGTCCTCCTCCCCTCCTCTTTGCCCTCACTCGATCCCTGTCCCTTGAATGCCTCATTGTCGCACCCCCAGACGTGTCCATAGAGAGGACATGGCGTTCCGCCTGAGACCTCCCCATGTTTGATCCCGAAGCTTGAGATTTGCAACAGTCTCACGGATGTAGGGTGGGTGGTTTTCAGAATGTGGTTCTCGCCTGAGCCCCTCGCATATTCGTTTCAAAAGCTTGCAATGGTTTCACGGATGTAGAGCGTGTGGCTCTTGAGCAAGTGGTTCTCGCGTTAGCCCCGTGCGCATTCGTTTTAAAAGCTTGCAGAGGCTTTACGGATGAAGGGATGATGTTTTTTACAATGTGGTTCTCGCATTCTTAGCGCCGCGCACATTCGTCTCAAAAGCTTTCAACAGTGTCACGGATGGAGGGTAGGCGGTTTTCAAAGTGTGAGTATCGTCTCAATCTTGCGCACATTCATGTAAAAAGCGTGTAGTTGCCTCAAGGATGGAGGATGTGTGTGTGTGCTTGTGTGTTTCGAAATGTTGTTCTCGCCACAGCGCCACACACATTCGTGTTCAAAGTTTGCAACTGCTCCAAGATTGAAGGGCGGCTCTTTTTCAAAATGTGGCTCTCGCCGTAGCGCCGCGCACATTCGTTTTGAACATACAGGTTCAAGGATTCGAATGGACGAAGTCCAAGGAATGGTGTCCTTGCATGACTAGGGTTGCCAGGACGCAACAGTCATGTTGGTTTGCGGTGTTGACGTTCCAGGAATGGTGTTCGGGCACGTTTTAAGCTTGTCAGGACGCAAGAATCACGTTGAATTGCACCGCTGAGTTCACAGGAATGATGTTTGGGCACGATTGAGGATTCTCAGATGGTTGTCTTCCAATTGCGCATTTTCCGGAATGGGAATAATGTGTGCGCAGAGACCTATGAAGAGGGAATTTCGAGGGAGGGTTCATTGCAACATCGTTGACGCATCTGGGGTTTACACGGGTCCCTCTCCTCCTCCCCTCCCTTCAAAAGCCAAATTAGGGGGGGATTGGCTCAGTGGAGGCGCATCAACCCCCAATGGCCTATTGATCGCCGACGGGCCCGGTAGCCCACCCCGCCCGGGAACGTGCAGGCCTATTCTTGGTCTAACGGTGATGTATCGCCGCTTCCAGGTCGATGTTTCCCTTCGAGCTTCGACGACAATGTGTGGTACTGTGGGTCTTCACCGCTATCTCGTGGCCCGAAGGCTAACTCTCGTGATTCAAACCCAGCTCGTTGTGTGTTTTCCTCAGTTGTTCGCTCCTGGTTTTCCTCAATGCGGCGGGGGACGCTGGTGAAGGGATGTGCTCATCAGGTTTTAGACCCTGGAGGATTGCTTATCTGATGAGGGCGGCGGCGGTATCCATGGCCAAGCCTGCATTGGTGTCCCACGGGCTTCGAGACCCTGGATTTCTTATCTAAGAGTTCCTTGTCCAATGCCCTCACCGTATGAGCTCCGATTCAGGACGGCTGAAAAGCCCTTTCGCCGCATTCTCCTCCCCGCCGCCTTCTCCTCCCGCCAGAGGCATGACGCTGGAGGTCTTGGGGCGGCGTGGTCGGCGAGGGCGAGGGCGAGGGGGGTCCTCCTCTTCACCCCCCATCCTCTCTCCTGCCTCCTCTTCGCAGGTCAAGATCGCGCCGCGGGTGCTCGACCAGCTGTCCGACGCAACTTTGAGTGCGATGGCTGCAGTGTTCTGCCCGTGTGAGGAGCTGCTATTCTGGCCTCAGGAGAGGCTCATTTCGAAGATGGTACGACTCCCCAAACCAGGGGGAGTGGAACGCCTCATCGCGCTCCTCAACACTCTCATTCGGGTCTGGGGTCGAGCGAGTCGTCCGATTTCGGCAGATTGGGAGCGGCACAGTGCCAGCGAGGAGTTCTGGGGCCATATCGGTGGGCGTTCTTCCACTGATGCGGCTTTCGACCTGGCGCTTGGGAAGGAAACGGCGCAGCTGACTGGCAAGCACACGCTGGTCGTCCTCCTCGACATGCCCTAGTGCTACGAAATTGTCAAGCATTCAGCCATCCTCAGCGACTGCAGGGCGAACAGGTTCCCAATGCGTTTGGCATGCATGCTCGTGATGCTCTGCGAGCAGGTGCGTTCCATCTTCGTATACATGTTTTCTCGAGCTCAGCAGGCGTGCCAAGGTATATTGGCAGGATGCACGCACGCCACCACGATGTTGATGGTCCTCCCCGCGCGCAGCATCAAATTGACCACCACTGTCGCGAAGGAGGTACGGCCGAGAGACCTTGTCGACGATGTGGCTTTGAGTTGGATGGGCCTAGCCCCCCGCGGTGCTCGGTCTGTGGCTACGGCGTGCCACGTCGTTTGCGAGTCAGTCGCGCCCTGGGTCTCACCCTGCAGTTCGACATTCGACAAGTCAGACCACTTAGCTTTGACACGTCAGACAGTTTATCATCCCGAGTCCTTCGCCAGCATGCTCAAGATTGCTGGCAAGCATCACATGCGGTACTTTGGCCACGACCCTGGAGCAGTTGCAGCCGTGCGTGGGATGCAGAAGGACCGCCTGAAGATGCACGGCAGGAAGGCCATAATCCGTGCCCTTCAGCTGGGGGCTGGACGCGCCAAGGCAGCCAGAATTTGGACCACAGGCGTGCTCCCCTCAGTTGGCCACGGTGCAGCGGTCAGTGGTATCAATGACAGCGGGCTGAAGCAGATGAGGAGCGTTGCTGGGAGTGTTAGAGGATTTTCAGGCTCAGGCTCGCTGTGCAGAAGCAGCGCACATACGACCCGATCTTTCACGCCACATGGAGCATCCGGCAGCCGTATTCAGCCTGGGTATGGGAGTTTCCCGGATCGCCCTCGCACCTGGAGCAGGCGTGGATGGCGCTGAGAGACCAGATCGGGGATGCCTCTCAGTTTACTTGGGCTAGCGCCAGAGGCCCGCTGTCAGCATTCTGGCTCACGCTGAAGCGAGTGAGCTGGGACATGGCGTCGTCTACGGTGGTCGTCGATGACCTTGGCGTAGCATATGGCTTGCTCAGGGTCTCCCCTAGCGAGTTGAAACATCACATGTTTGCCAGCCTGGAGAGATGGCAAAGTCACAGGATTTTAGATCACCTGCCTGGAGCTCCGCATCGGGAAGAAGGAGGTGGCCGTCTGCACATTTGGATGCGTGCTCAGAGGGAAGGTCACTTGCAAACACTTCCTGATGGTCTTCGTGGTGCTCTGGCCAAGTTGCAGTCTAACGGTATGTGGTCGTCTGAAAGACGGCTTCAAGCCGGCTACTCGGACAACGCGAACTGCGAGTGCTGTGGCCACGAGGCCTCGGACCTAGAGCACGAGATCTTCTTTTGCTCGATTCACAAACCGCAGGAAGACGAGGAGTAGCACCCCATACCCCGACGACGTCTTGCAGGCCAGGAAGGATATCTGGAGTCAGGGGCAAACAGGAGTTGGCCTGGAGTGGGATTTCACCCCTGTCAACATGCTCTACGCCAGTCCCCTGAGGCCTGAGTTCAGGCCCCCTGAGCCCTGCGCGCTGCCTGTCAAAGAATGGGGTGCAGTAGCGGTCCCGTGGCCAGGACAAGTTTTTGGCGATGGTTCTTGTTTGGACAGTGATTTTCCTGAGTCCAGGTGATGCGGATGGGCCGTGGTGGCCCTCGCGCCCAGCCTCGTCCCTTTCAAAGCAATATTTGGCGGCCTTGGCGGCCCTATTCAGATTGTACCCCGCGCAGAAAGGTTTGCTGCACTGCGCGGGCTGGAAGTTGCTGCCAGGCCGACCGAGTTTGTCACCGATCATTCGGGTCTCGCCCGTGAAGGGGCCGTGTGGGATGGCAAGCATGCTAGACCTCTGGCCCCGCGCGCAAGTGTCTGGCGCAAAATTCATCAGTTGTACAGCTCTGACGAACGCCGACCTATTTCTACCCGGACCAAGGCCCATCCTTCGACGAGGGCCTCTCTGCGTGTATCGACTCGGGCGAGGCGCTAGATAACCTTTTCGGCAACATGTGGGCCGACTGTTTCGCGAAGATGGCCGCGCTCGAGATGTCGGGGTCGTCTTTGATCGTCAAGGGTTTCAAGTTTCAGCTGGAGCAAGCGCTCAGCCGCATGAGGTGTCTCGCCTCTGCTGCGGAGGGTGGCAAAGATGGCCGCGCCTACCGTCGGGAAGCCCCTTGCGCCAGCCCCCAGAACTAGGCGCGCGAGGAAGCCCACCGCGCATGTTTTTGTCGGCATCCCTGAAGGAGCCTTCGGTTGCCAGATTTGTTGGAGGCAGGCCACCACCATCTCTTCTCTCAAGTCCTTGTCTGCCCGTCTCTGTGATCTCCAGGCTCCAGGGCCTGGCCACTTCGTGCAAGCGTCAGAGCGCGTGCTTATCTGCGCGCGCTGTGGAGCGCACGCGGTGCGCCCTCAGCGACTCTCGGTCGGCCTGGCGCGCGCCTGCAAGGGGGGCGGGACTGGGACTGGGACGTCGGGAAGTCGGGCGGAGCGGGATCGCCTCCACAGGCTGCTCAAGAATGCCCTGAAGGGCCGACGTCTCAAGACAGGCGAGGTCCTAGGCACTTTGTTGCTGGCCGACGTGCCAGCGGATTTTGCTCGTGAGTCCGTGGGTTCCCAGCAGGTGCCTCCGCGGGTGGGGGCCGTGGGTCCTGGGGCCGAGGCCGTTGGCTTGCGTGGCGCGCTGTTACTCGAAGATGCCCCAGTTTCGGACTCACGGCCCGCGTCGGCCGCGTGAGCTCCAGCGCCAGGTGTTGGCACCTAGCCGCACCGTCAGGGCGACCCCAGCCTGCTGGGTCGCTTTTATTTGTCTCGAGGCGGTTTCGTGGTTCATCTGGCCGCTCTCTGCATTGCTCCACTGCTCCTTCCTCCCTCCTGTTCCTCCCCCTCGAGCCTCAACGCCGGAGGCCTGGGGCAGGGGCGAGGGGCGAGGGCGCGGGGGCGGGCCCCGCGGGGACGCGGACGCCTCTCAGGCCCAGAGCCCCGCCGGCTTGCGCCCGCCGCCACCTGCGGCCGCCGCGGAGGAGCCAGAGGAGGAGGAGGAGGCGGAGGAGGAGTGAGGACCAGTCCAAACCCAAGGTCATCAACGATGCTGCAATAAACCCTCTTCGTCTTCACAGGCCCCTAGAAGGATTCATTTCCACGGAGGGAGGTGCCCCGTTGGAAGACCACCGTTTGGAAATCCGGAACTGTGCCAGAGCGCCATGCTTGGGACTGCAACGCTGCGAATCACCGTTATTGCTGCGCCTTGCCGATCCTGAATCGCACCAGAACGGCATTCTTGGGACATCAACACCGCGAGTCGCATGATTGTTGTGCCTTGATAGTCCGGCATCGTGCCTAAGCGCTAACCATGAAAATATTCGAAACTGCTGCAGGCTCGTAAGACGAGTGTGCGCGGCGCTAAGGCGAGAGCCACATAGGAAGGAGGGGCCAGACTCTGAGGGAGGAGGAAGGAGGAGGGTGGAGGAGGAAGGAGGAGGAGGGAGGAGGAGGTGGAGGGAGGAGGAGGAGGGAGGAGGAGGGAGGAGGAGGGGCGAAGGATCAGGAGAAGGGAGAAAAGGAGGGAGGGAGGAGGGGCCAGACCCTAAGATCAAGGCGTTGCAGTTTTTTCAGAGCGGGCCTTTGCGCTGGGGTTCGGGCCCCGCTCACAGATCGATCCGGCCCGAAAAATGGCGCAGCAACATGGAGTTTGGGGCTCCAGAGCGTCGGATCTCAACGTCGGCTCATGATGTTGTAATTTTTTCGCAACGTCAAATCTCAAGTGCGGAGCCAGAAGAGGTTGGGCGAAGAGGAGGAGGAAGAGGAGGAGGAGGAGGAGGAGGAGAAGGAAGAGGAGAAAGCACGAAGAAGGAGGCGCCTTCTGGTTCTCTCCCTGCTCTCTCCTCCCCTCCCTCCCCGAGCAAAGACGTGAGAGAGGGAGGGAGGAGGGGCCAGAGAAGCCGGAAGAGAAGGAGAAGGAAGAGGAGGAGGAGGAGGAGGACGATGAGGAGAATGGGAATCAAGGTGGATGACGACGAGGGAGGAGGGAGGAGGAGGAAGAAAAAACAAGAGGAGGAAAGTGGAGGACGAGAAGGAAAGGGAGAAGGAGGCAGGAGGAGGGAGGAAGGAGGAAGGGACAAAGGGAGGAGGAAGGAGCGACAAGAGGAAGGAGGAAGGGAAGGAAGGGGCAGGGGTTGTAAGGAGGAAGGAGAAGGGGAGGAATGAGGAAAGTGAAGTGAGGAGCAGGATGAGGAGGAGGAGGAGGAGGAGGAGGAGGAGGAGGAGGAAGGGGAGGAGGAGTACTAGCCCGAGGTATGTGCGAGGAGGAGGAGGAGGAGGAGGAGGAGGAATGGTGACGAAGAGGACGGGAAGAGGTAGGAGGACGAAGAAGAGGAGGAGGTGGAGGAGCTCGGCAAGATCCGATCTCGAAGTTTGAAGTTTTCGGAAGTTATTGTCAAATCCAGTTTTTCGGCCTGGGCGGTGCCTTCCAGCAAGCGCGGACACGCATGCGGACTTTCCGACTGGAACCTTCGGTGGAGCTCCGCATGGGGCCACGAAACGCGTGAGGGTTCTGCCGAAATGGTCGAGGGCACACATGTGGACTTTCCCATGGGGGCCTTCGGTTGAGCTTCGTATGGGGCCGCGGAGCGTGTGAGCGGTGTGCCGACATGGGCGGGCACCCATGTGGGCTTTGCCACGGGTGTTTTGGATTTAGCTGCCTAACGGACCACAAAACGTGCGAGGGGTGCGCCGAAAAGGGCGCGGGCACGCACACGAGCTTTTCCATTGGGACTTCCGGTTGAGCTCTCATGAGGCAACGAAACGGGTTAGGGGGCGTGCCGACATCGGCGCGGGAGCGCATGCGGAATTCCCCGCTGGGGCGTGGAGCCCCATATGAGGCCACGAGCGCTGCAACTGGGCTCTTCGGTGGAGCTCCCGAAGCGGCCACGGAGCGTGTCAGGGGTATCCAGACATGCGACTCGTCATGATGGTGGTGGCGATGATGGTGACGATGACGACGACGACGACGAGGACGAGGACGACGACGACGACGGCGAAATCGACGACGACGACGACAACGACGACGACGACGGACGACGACGACGGACGACGACGACAAAGACGACGATGACGACGACCACCACCACCACCACTACTACGGCGACAACGACGACGATGATGATCATGATTATGATGCTGATCTGGACGATGATGATGATGATAATGATGATGCTGATGATGATGATGACGATGCTGATGACGGCGATGACGATGGTGATGATGATGATGATGATGATGATGATGATGATGATGGTGATGATACTGATGATGGTGGTGATGATGGTGACGATGAAGACGATGACGATGTTGTTGATGATGATGGTGATGGTGATAAAGAAGATAGTCATGCTGATGTTGGTGATGCTTACCATGATGATAATGATGATGGTGATAATAATGAGGATGATGATCCTGGTAATACTGATGATGATCACGATGATGATGATGATGATGATGATGATGATGATGATGATGATGATGATGATGATAACGGTGATGATGATGATGATGATGATGATGATGATGATGATGATGATGCTGGTGGTGATGACGATGCTGCTGATGCTGATTATGATGGTGAGGGTGATGACGATGACGAGTGTGATGCTGATTATGATGCTGATGCCGATTCATACGCTGATGCTGATGCTGATGCTGATGTTAATGCTGCTGCTGATGATGACGACGATGGTGGCTGTGATGATGATGATGATGATGATGATGATGATGATGATGATGATGATGATGATGATGATGATGATGATGATGATGATCACGATCATCATCATGAGCATTATCATGATAATGATCATGGTGGTGGTAATGATGACGATCACTATGATCACCGAGGAAAGAGGGGCAGCGGGAGGGAGGACGCGGGGACGCTGCGGATCCAGAACGAGGACACAACACCTTCAGGACGGTTGGGAAACAGCAGGTTCGGCGGATCCCCTCTGGAGGATGACGGTGAATTGTGCATAGAGCCCAGTGATTTTGCCCGATCTGTGGTCTAGAGCAGCGCGGGCCCCTCGGCGCGCTCACAGGACGCGGGCGCGCCCCAAAATGCCGCGCCCGCCGTCGGTACCGCCGAGGCCTGGCCCGGCCGCCGCCGCCTCCCTCGTGATGGTGGCTCGGCCGGCACCACGCGATGGCGAACAGTCCCCCCTGCTTCGCCGTGCAGGGGACCCAGACTTACTCGCGGCGTGAAGAACACACGCGACGTAATGTTTTGGATCGTGTTCGGCCTCCGAAGGGCCGACGCGCGCCCCAGGGCCGTCAAAAAACGACTTGGGACGAAACGCCAGCCTTAGGGAAAGGGCCGGGACTTCGGGGTACTGCGTTTTGAAAAAAATCAAGACGCCGCACAGAGGTCCTGAAGGAAACGGGTCCTGGACAACAGGGCTCTCCCCAGAACGAGCTCTTCGTCTGGAGTCGTTTTTGCTATGGTCCTGGGGCCCATGCAGGGCAAAATGGGCCCGAAAGTGGCACAGACAAGTCTTGCAAAACGCTTTCAGTGGTTCGAAGGGGGGGCGGGGCCTTTTCCACCGGCGGGAAGTTCACGAGAGCCTCGAGGCGAGGCTTCGCTCTGATCGGCCTCGCACAGACTCGGCCGCGGCCGGAGAGTCCAGTCGATGCAGGGCGCCCTGAGAATCGCTGCGCACTGGGGGTTCGAGTTCGAGATGGTTGGGCGTGTTCGTCGGTTCTCGACGCTTTTGCAGCCTCCAGGTGCATTCCAGCAGCTGCACCTCACCGAGAGCGTTCCAGGGATGCCTGGATCGTCCCGAACGGCCTCCTGAGAGCCGAGCCATGACCGGAAACAAATGGGGCAGCGTCAAGATGGCAGCAGGGCGACACGTGGACGACGCAGAAAAACGGGTTCGACTGTGCGGACATGAGCTGCCTGCGCAATGTGACGCTTAAGCGCCCTTGTTTTCAATGTCGCATGCGCTGGCAGCCCTCGTAAGCCACCGCGTAAGCTCGCTTTGGCATCGTGCATCAGACCAGCTTCTGTTCGTCGCTCATGTGGTCATCGTGTGACAAAAGAATGAACAGAACACGAAAAAGAGGAGGTAACATATCTGGCCCGAGGGTTCTACACGGATCACCATCTGACCACATGTCGAGCGATAGTTTGAGGGCGTCTTGCGCTGGCAACCGCACATGCGTTGTTATCCTGTCAGTCGCGGAGGCCGTAGGAGGGCCAGGCGTTATCCCAGCAGTGGCAGCCCCACATGAGCCCTCAGACGGTGACCCTCTGGCGTCACGCTCAGCGCGCCAGCTGGGCACGGGCGTTGTCGGCAGGCCGTTGCCCAGCGTGCCTCTGCACCCTTGCGCACGGTCATGTAGTGCCTTGCTTGATGGAAAATGTATGCGTTCACGTTGTTTTGTTATGTTATCGCTCCCGCTCTCTCTCTCTCTCTCTCTCTATTTCTCTTTCTCTCTCGCTCTAATGTCAGTTCGTAGTGGTGCTAATGTGCTCTCCTTTTGCTGCTTGTCGAGCTGCCTTGGTCTTCACTTGTTTCAAAGCGTTTCCGTGCAACAATCGGTTTTCGATCGATATTTGCTGGGGCGTCAGGAGGTGAAGCTTTGAATGGTTCAGGGTCTGAGAGCATGTGCGGCAAATCTCAGCAGCACCAATCGCTGGTTTGGCAAGGGGGCGATCAGATAAGAAGTGCGCGCCTGCAGAAGGTCCCACACCAAAAAAGTGTTACGGAGCGAGCAGCAGAGCAGGGATGGCCTGAGAGGGTTTGGACTCCTCAGCCTTCATTTTCATTGGAGACCCGACTGAAGTGTGGCATGTGTCTCGAGCTTGATCTCCGTGCGATCTTTGTCACGTCGCGACGCCGTCCTCGGCGCGGTGGTTGTTTGTGCCACGGCCGCCGGGCAGGCGGCCAGCGCGGTGCTCGTGGATGAAGGCGCGACCCGGCCACCGCTTCAGTATCGTTTGACCGACCCCGGTCCCCATCCCCATCCCTATCCAGACCCCCACCACCTCAGCACCCCAGTTGGGGACAGACCCTGCGAAACCCGAAGGCAACAGCCTATGTCCCCATCGAGGGGGGGAAATCGGCCTCCGGGGCCCAGGCCATGCCCCTGAGGACGGGAAGGGGGGGTCGGCGACACGGTGCTCACTGCTCCACGCCTGCTCTTTTGGGACGGGGCGGAGGGCGGGCGGCGGAGCCTGCACTCCTCCGGGCTGCAGGGCCGTGCCGTTCCGAGGCGGCGGCGACCCCAGGCGCGGGCGCGAAGGAGCGAACGCTGCGGGTGGCCGAGGCTCCGCCGGCCCTGACATCCTGGCGCTGCAGTCTCCTCACGACGGGCGCTTTCCACCTCGATTTCGGGCCCCGGGGCCCTCCCAGATCGAGCCGGCCCGGAAAGTGACGCAGAAAGATGAGGTTTGGGGCTCCGGAGGGGAACCTGTGCGATGTTGTATTTTCGGCTAGACGTCACAGTGACCCTTCTCCGGAGTGACCATTGGTGCGGGCACATCGGGGCCCCCCGATCGCCGAACGCGATGCGATAGAGGCGTCTTGCGCGCTTGGGTTTGGCCACCCCGCGGTCCCCAAAAAGCCGCGCTCCAAAGGTCACTCTTACCCAGGATCACTCTCGCGTGTATCCAGTATGTTCTTGCAACGACAGATCTGAGGGTATACCGAACGATCTGCGCCGCGATCGTCCGAGGTTGAACGACCCGCGCGGTGTCAGACACCAATCTCGGAGCCCCGGGTGATCAGGGCCAGGGCGCGGTCGGGGGGGACTGGCTCAGGAGGGGGGGGGGCCGAAGCGTCGCTCCCCAGTGCCCCAGTCATCGCCGATAAGGGGCCTGATAGCCCACCCCGCCCAGGACTGCTTGGTTTCGGTACCGGGCGCCGATCTCCGAATCGCCGATTCAAGCTCAATGCCTCCCCCCTCCGAGCTGGTCCCCCCCCGTCGTGTCGCATCAGCTATGGGCGGATGTACACCTGTTGTCCAGCATTCTCGGCACAGGAAGCGTCCCAAACTAATTACCGGGTGCGGAGCGGGGCCCTGCCTGGACCAGGCCTACAGTTGGCACATTAGATAAGGCATTGGTTTGCCGGCAGATGCCCCACGGAAATTTCTTATCCCCCGATTGCCCCAGGGAGCTACCGAGATTGCGATGGGGCACCGTAGGACTTTCAAAGATCGACGCAAAATGCGCCCCATGGTTTTCCATAATTAGCTAAATCATCGGAGCGCCGATCGGTTTTACACCGTCCCTGGGTGCGTGGCTGAAGTGTGATTCCGCGACGCGGATTATTATTCCCAACTAAGCCCTGTGGTGGTGGGACCTCGGTTTGAAGAGACAGCGCCCCGCGTCCTCACCCTCTCCTGTCGTCCTCCCCTCCCCCCCCTCCTTCCTTCCATCCTTGCCGCTGCCCTCCGCGTTTCAACCTGTTCGGCTCTCCCCTCACACGTTTCGTGACCGATGGGGAGCTCCACCGAAGGCCCCAGTGGCAGGGTCCGCATGCGTCTCCCCCACCGAGCAAAGCGTTTCGCGGCCCCATGGGGAGTTCCACCGAAGGCCCCAGTGGCAGGGTCCACCAGCGCCTCCCCCACCCAGTACAACGTTTCGTGGCCTATAGGGAGCTGCACCGAAGGCCCCAGTTGCAGGGTCCACATGTGTCTCCCCCACCCAGCACAGCGTGTCGTGGCCCAGAGGAAGCTCCACCAGAGGCCCTAGTGGCACGGTCCACCAGCGCCTCCCCCACCCAGTACAGCGTTTCGTGGCCCAGAGACGCCACCGAAGGCCCCAGTGGCAGGGCCCACCAGCGTCTCCCCCTCCCAGTACAACGTTTCGTGCCACAGGGAGCGCCACCGAAGGCCCCAGTGGCAGGGTTCCCATGCGTCTCCCTCGCCCAGCACAGCGTGTCGTGGTCCAGGGGGGGGGGGCTCCACCGAAGGCCCCAGTGGCGAAGTTCGCATGCGCCTCCCCCACCGACCACAGCGCTTCGCGGCCCCATAGGGAGTTCCACCGAGTACCATAGTGGCAAAGTTCGCATGCGTCTCCCCCACCGAGTACAGCATTTTGTGGCCACTTAGTGAGCTCCACCGAAGGCCCCAGTGGCAGGGTCCACATGCTCCCCCACCGCGCACAGCGTGTCGTGGTCCAGGGGGAGCTCCACCGCAGGCTCCAGTGACAGGGTCCACATGCGTCTCCCCGACCCAGCCCAGCATTTCGTGGTCCATGGGAAGCTCCACCGAAGGCCCCAGTGGTGAAGTTCGCATGCGCCTCCCCCACCGACCACAGCGTTTCGTGGCCCGTAGGGAGCTCCACCGAGTGCCCTAGTGGCGAAGTTCGCATGCGCCCCCCCGGCCCAGTACAGCGATTTGCGGTCCATAAAGAGCTCCACTGAAGACAATACCCACAGCTTCGGTATTCACATCTGCACATGGTTGCTCTTTCGCCAATATAATCGTCGTGCACCCCTCTACCCACCCGCGACCCACCCACGACCCACCCCCGCGACCCACCCCGTGACCCACCCGCGACCCACTCGGGACCCACCCACGTTGCGTTGACGACCAGAATCGGCGCCTGCAGCAGGCTCGTGAAATGTGTAAGAAACTCGGCGCCTGCGATTGGCTTCCCCAGAGCCTCGCAGACTGCCGACGACCCCGCCGTCCCCATCACTCTCACTCTTATTCTCAACTGCGGGGCCGATTGTAGAGTGATTTTCTGTCGCACGTGCCAATTGTACCCCAGGTCATTCGGCTGCCCAGCTATCGATCCCCCAGGGGGGTCACAAACGGGGTGGTGACCACACCGCAAGGTGAGTCAGTGGGGATTCGGGGTCGCCGCACGGTTTTTGGACTTGGGTCGTTCTCCGAGGACGTCTTGGGCGACTGGGGTCTCCGAGGTCCCAGGACCGTGCGGTAACGGACAACACGGTGAGGTCTCTTGGGGGTTCGAGGTTTTTACGCGGTCCGTCACCCAGCGGTTCTGGAGAGACAGCGCCCCGCGTCCTTCCTTCTCCCCCCCTCCCCTTCCTCCCTCCTCCCATCCTTGCCTCTGCCCTCCGCACAAAAAATTCGAAACCATTTTGTCACACACCCCTCACACGTCTCGCGTCCCCATGGGGAACTCCACCGAAGGCCCCAGTGGGAGGGTCGACATGCGTCTCCCCGTTCTTCGGCACACCCCTCACACGCTTCGTGGCCCCAAAAGAAGCTCCACCGAATGCCTCAGTGGGATGGTCCACATGCGTCTCCCCGACCCATGCTGGCACACCCCTCACACGCCTCGTGGCCCCATAGGGAGCTCCGCCGAAGGCCTCAGTGGGAGAGTCGACATGCGTCTCCCCGCCCCATTCCGGAACACAATTCACACGTTTCGTGACACTACATCGCTGTGACAATAGTTCGGCCCATATATCTTGCCATGGCGAATGAAGGCGATAATGTTGCAAGACTTGCGATGCCCCCCCTCCCCCGTAGACTCCTACACCACGACAACAAAGCGCCGCGGTGGCGCAGCCGCGGCGGAAGAAACAAATTCTTCCACTGATACTAATTAGTAGTAGCTGTTTTATTCCAGGGGATTAATTCTTCCGCCTATTTTTTGACGCATGGAAAATGCTTCCGCGCCAGCGCGAGTGAACTCCACTAGGAAAGGCAAATGGGCCTAAGTTTTCGTCCTGCCAGAGTAGAAGGAGCTCCCCCGAAGGCCCCACTGGGAGTGTCCATGCGTCTCCCCGCCCCCCTTCCAGCAACCCATCACACGCTTCCGGGCCCCATAGCTCCACCGGAGGCCCCAGTGGGAGGGTCCACATGTGTCTTCCCGAACCATTCCAGCATGCCCTTCGCACCTTTCGTGGCCCCGTAGGGACCTCCACCGAAGGCCCCAGCGGGAGGGTCGACATGCGTTTCCCGACCTATTCCGGCACCCCCTTCGCACGCTTCGTGGCCCCATAGGGAGCTCCACCGAAGGCCCCAGTGGTAGGGTCCACATGCGTCTCCCCTCCCCGTTTCGGTAAACCTTTCGCGCGTTTCGTGGCCCCAGGGGAGCTCCACCGAAATCCCCAGTGGGATGGTCCACATGCGTCTTCCCGCCCCATCTCGGCACACCCCTCACAGGCTTCTTGACCCCATAGGGAGCTCCACCGAGAGGCCCCAGTGGGAGGGTCCACATGCGTGTCCCCGCTCCCCTTGCGGCAAACGCATCACATGCTTCCTCGCCCCATAGGGAGCCCCTCCGGAGGCTTCAGTGGGAGGGTCCACATGCGTCTCCCCGCGCCACTCTGGCACATCCTTCACACGCTTCATGGCCCCGTAGGGAGCTCCACCGAAGGCATCAGTGGGAGAGTCGACATGCGCTTCCCCGCCCCATTTCGGCATACCCTTCAAACGTTTCGTGGCCCCATAGGGAGCTCCACCGACGGCTCCACTGGGAGGGTCCACATGAATCTCCCCCGCATGTCGGCAAACCCCCTCACGTTTCGTGCCCTCATAGGGAGCTCCACCGAACACCTCAGTGAACGGGCCCACATGCGTCTCCCCGCCCCATATCGGCACACCCATCAAACGCTTCGTGGCCCCCTAGGGAGCTCCACCGAAGAATCCGGCGGGAGGGTCGACATGCGCTTCCCCACGCAATTTCGGCACACCCTTCACACGTTTCGTGGCCCCATAGGGAGCTCCACCCAAGGCCCGAATGGGAGGGTCGACGTGCGTCTTCCAGCGCCATTTCGGGACACTCCTCACACGTTTCGCGGCCCCGTAGGGAGCTTTACGAAGGTCCCAGTGGGAGGGTCCACATGTTTTTCCCCGCCTAGTACAACGCTTCGTGGCCACATAGGGAGACCCACTGAAGGCCCCAGTGGCCGCGGCCGCATGTCCCCCCCCACCCAGTACAGCGCATCGTGGCCCCATAGGGAGGTCCACCTAAATTTCCACT